TAACGACATGGCCACCAGCTGTCTGAATCTGCGAGTTATGTCACGACGTGATGACTTTTTTCTTCAGCTGTGTTGTAGTTTCCCGCTCAGTATGAAATTGTTTGCGCCGGTGTCCATAACGCATTAACTGCACAACTATCAATTGTCACTGCTATGTCGAGTGAAAGCCGCCTATTCTTTGCAACTGCACGTGATGTCAGACCGGTTTCTGTACGGTTCCGCGTCAATAGGAAGTCTTCAGCACTTCGATGTTCAGTGACCCCACCCCCAGAGGTCGCTTCGGCTAGTTTTCTCGGAAGGGGCTGGGAGACCTGCGCTAGAATACCGCTGGGGCGTTGATGAAAATCGCCTCGGTTATGGCTAGCGTGACTGGCGCCCGGCACACGGTGGTTCATGCTGCTTGGAGTGGTAGTTTTTGATGTCGCGTGGTCTCTGGCCTTAACGGGGTGGCGGCGAGTACGCAGAGAAGCCGGGAAGCCCAAGACGGCAATATGGGCACTGGCGGTACAAATGATCAGCTTCTCTGCAGTGAAAGCATAGAAGCTGGTGACCAGGTGTGCGCAAAACATCAGACTTCAAGGAGACGTGTGCCGATTGTCAATGTCCTGGGCTGGTTGCACCGAACGATGGGCGAAAAAGCGCCACGGACAAAGGGCAAGGGTGGTGCCGTGTACGTGTCTTCGTAGTATGGTATGTGCTGCGCTGACTGGAGTGAAACAGCAGGGACAGGATCAACGGACAATGGCGGCGATGCAGCAGGGCGTTTCAAGGCTTCCGCGTAGGTATTCCCATGGCGGTATTCAGCAGGAGATGGCGCAGCTGTATCATGAGGCAAGGTGTCCCGGAGCGCCTGGTGCAGCTCATCCTTGATCACAGTTGCAGTAGAGCTAACTGTAGGGTGACGTGTTACACCAGCCTTTTGCAACTCCTCACGTACTACCTTACGGATGAGTTGACGTAGACGGTCATTGCTGGTTTCAGTGGTGGAGAAAATGTCAGCAGTGGACATGCCACTGACTTGCCTGTCGTATTGTTTGGATCGCTGCTGCAAAATTTTTCCATTGTGACGGCTTCGGACAAGAACTGCGCGACCGTCTTCAGAGGGCTTCGCACGAGGCCGGCAAAAAGCTGGTCCTTGACACCGCGCATCAAGTGACGCAAATTCTTATCCTCCGTCATTCTTGGATCGGCCGGTCGGAAGATGCGCGTCATGTCTTCGACGCACGTGGTCACAGTTTTGTTTGGTGACTGGACGCGGGTCCAGGATAGCTCGTTCAACTCGTTCTTGGCGAGAAGCGCTGGCATAGGTCTGCAGAAGTCTACGAGAGAATTCGGGTCAGGTCGTCAGCTGCTCTTCTCGATTTTGATACCACGTGTGTGCCCCGTGTTCGAGACAGAAATAGACATGACCCAGTTTCGCCGCATCGTTCCACAGATTCAAGGTGGCTACGCACTCGAAGTCCGCCAACCAGTCCCCAACGTCCTCGCGCTTCGTACCATGGAACGTCGCCGATGCCCATCGTCTTTCCAACGTGTAGTGGTTGGACGTCGTGCTTGCCGTGCCGGTTGGCGAGGTTTGCACCGAAGCGCTGGTCATATATGTCGGCGTGGTGGGAGCAGTATCGGCGACTTCCGGAGGCAATCCCCTGATTCGGTGGCTGGTCCGATGCACGAGAGTATTGACAGGCACTGGACTCGTATTACGGCTCCCTGGGAGGGGGGGGGGGCAGCATCTGCGAGACTATCCAACACCTCCACCAGTTTGTTACGATGAATCACAAGTAGTGGGTGGTTCATTGAACCACCAAGTAGCTAGCTCTACAACGACGCGTCAGCCGTGGCTGGCTGTTGAGCAGAGAAGAGGCACGCGATATTCTTTTTTCCTCCAGATTGAGAGCCGCTCTTGCTTTCGACTGATTACTTGTGGGTGGCAATATATACATCTTGTTACGACTTGTGCTGCGGAAGCTTTGTATTTACCTACATTTTCATGAATACAATAATTATATTTTGCCTACTGTCGTATGACTGTGAGTGAACCAACCAATGTAGATTTATAAATGTAGGGAAAAAAACATGACTAAAATTTCACACAAACTATTGATATGTCATATCACCGTCGTGGTCTAGCGGCTAAGGTACTCGGCTGCTGACCCGCAGGTGGCGGGTTCGAATCCCGGCTGCGGCGGCTGCATTCCGGCTGCGGCGGCTGCACTCCGATGGAGGCGGAAATGTTGCAGGCCCGTGTGCTCAGATTTGGGTGCACGTTAAAGAACCCCAGGTAGTCGAAATTTCCGGAGCCCTCCACTACGGCATCTCTCATAATAATATGGTGGTTTTCAGACGTTAAACCCGACATATCAATCAATATTATCATCGTGCATACCCTTTTGACTCATGCTCTCAGTCGTTTTATGTCTAATTTAAATATAAAATACTTGCGATACACTTAAGCAGCTGCTGACGAGAACTTGAATGTAATCAAATTTTCTTGCCTGTAACGCCCATTTACTTTATTTGAATGTCATCATACGCCCAAGCCCGAACATATAAATTGGTGGTCACAAAATGGCCGGCGAGTAATTTGTAGTGTGCCATTGACAAAGGAGAGTGGCGAAAATAAATCGTGGCCATACTTTCAGAGGCCATATTCTTGAGAGGCGGCAGCTGGCAATCACCGCAAAGTGATGAAATCTGGCCAATTTAGCAGGCGAAATTGAAACCAAGCCCCAAAAGGTGCATCTAGCATTCACTTTGAAAACGCCCTCAGTGACGACAATGTTCCCCTCGCATTCGGGGAGGAGCATAAGCGAGTGTCAATTAGCGGCCACGAAGTCGAGTATCTAGATTCACGGTCGATAACGGCGAGGGAAACAGTGTCGTCACTGTGAGTGTTTTTGATGTCAATGGTGGATTCGCCGTTTGGTGCGTTGGTTTTGGTTTCACCTGATAAATTGTTCAGGTTTCATGGCTTCACGGTGATTACCAGCGGCAACCTTTGAAAAAATCACAGCTTTGTCGCAAAGGCGAAGCCATGAAAGCGATAGCAATGAAATGGAGGATCACGTGCAGAATGGAATGCAGGCCCCGCCACGGTGGTCTAGTGGCTAAGGTACTCGGATGCTGACCCACAGGTCGCGGGTTCGAATCCCGGCTGCGGCGGCTGCATTTCCGATGGAGGCGGAAATGATGTAGGCCCGTGTGCTCAGATTTGAGTGCACGTAAAAGAACCCAGGTGGTCGAAATTTTCGGAGCCCTCCATTACGGCGTTTCTCATAATCATATGGTGGTTTTGGGACGTTAAACCCCACATATCAATCAGAATGGCAAGCAGATCAAAAGATCGTCCGCGTTTCTCACGCACAAAGGACGCACGAAGCGTACTCACAGGTACAGATGAACAAGAATAAGCGTCTCAGTTGTTACTTCGCTGTGCCTGAAAAGCGCACCATTTTCGCAAACAGAGGCTGTGCAACGATTGCAGTAATCCTTGTTCGCCCGGTAACTACAACGGAATATTTCCTGCAAAACCCAAATGCTAGCCAAGACGTACCATTCTCTCCACTGCAAGATAAGGGCGCACGATCGAGCGTACACCCCCTTATACCCTACGCGGGCCTAAGTACGCGTGAGAGATGAGAGCCGCCGCATAATGCTGAAAACACAATACCCCCCCCCCCCCCCCCGAGGCGCCTGCCAACAGCGGTAAGTAGTAGACATCAATACTTTGTCGTTTAAAAAAGCGTCCGGCCCGTACGCTTGTCCGCGAAAACATTGCTGAGTACATTGATGATATACTCAAACAACAAGATTTTGTTCCGGAATGGCTCTCCAGGGTCGAACCCCTGATGAACCTGAAGGAATTTTAGCACTGTAATCACTAATAGTTTCGCGACTGTTTCGTCATCACTTCTGTTTGTATGTTACTGTTTGCAGTGACTTATATTGATGTGTGTACCTTGTGCAAAACCGGTAATAAAGAAATAAAAACCTCTCCGTGGATCAGTGGTTAACGCCTCGTATTCACGACGCGGAGGTTCCACGTGCCGGGGTCTTTTTTTGAATTTTTTCTTTTTTGCGTTTTCAAAGATATAGATACGTATATATATAAATATATGGTGCGTGACATCGACGCCGATGCCGGCGGCGAAATCCAGCCGAGAGGGTCCATATAATTGCTATTGCAATAAAATTTAAAGTGGCTTGGAACTATGCTCAGGAAGGGCTTCGATTCGCTCATTGGGCTCGATCGGCCAGTTCCGCTGGTTAAAAACTTAACTGTTTTGATTTCCATGACTACTGCCGTAATAATAGTTTGTGTAAAGATGTCTTCTTTCACAGTTGAGGGAATGCCACAGGTAGCACGCAGATGCCTTTTTTCTGCAATTTTGAATAATACTGGATACATTTTTTAAAAGACTGCATAATCGTGCGTGTATAAACGTGGTTTCTAAACGTGTGTGTGTGTCATCTAATTCAAGTCTCCACGCACCCACATGATATATTTCATAGTCAAAGCTGGTCACCATAAGTTTAGAACTCGCAAACATTGCGCTCTTTGGCCAACCATATTCTATGTGGCCAAAGAGTTCAGACATCATTTTAATAATTTCTTATCAGTCAATATATTCATCCGCCCCACCCTTTTCAGAAAGCCATCTGCACGTGCCGTGGTTTTGTAGGCTTTCTGCGCTTGAACTTGTGCTGCGCTGCCTTTGTGATCTTTTACAAGCAACGATGTCATGCGCTGACGTTGCCATGTTGCATTACATTGCACGTTGTCATGACGTGATGACTTTGTGCGTGTACTCGCGTTTATGTCCATGCCTCCGGCGCTCTCATTTCGCTTTTGACAGGACATTTAAGATTTCTGCATGAATAATGTAGCAAGAGTGCAGTGCGCATGTGTGTAGCATTTAGAAAGCTGAGCTGTGGCGTTAGTTCTGTCACACAAAAGTTGCGCAACGTATATAGTGGAGCCTGTCATAGCAAGGACTTACTTGTATGGTAGAGAAGCATGCCTGGTTGGTCGAAAGTGTTTCCTGGAGAAACGAGGCCTTTCAGAAGGAGGGTATTTTTCACCCTAGAACATAGCAGTTCGATATTGTTTGTTGTGGCGCTAGGCAACTCAGTTATCATACCACGCGCGATGAATAATTCAATAACTTACGTTGTGTTGGCACTATAAAACGACCTGTTGAATATCATGTAGGAACCATTTTCATTGATCTTCATGTCCACGAGGCAGGAAAAGTCACTTCCAGGAGCTTTCGCTGTAGTGTGAGTCCATATAGATTCTGTCGTGTTCCAAAACTGTGGGAGAATTGACCACTTAGATTCGTGTGTGCCTATCGTGAAAGTTTAAACGAAAGCGTAGACTATAGGTTTACAATAGAGTGGATTATTTTATTGAAATACAGCCGTGTACTATTATTCATATAATACATGTGTGCCTAAGTGTACCTTATTTTTTAAGTGATCCGTCAAGCATGCAGAAAAATGAAAGTAACTGAAGCCCCCGTGAAAAGGGCACTTTTACTAAGCAAAAATCATCTCCTTTAGACACATCGATAGTATGATGTCACATCATGTGATTTCACATTACGCATATCATGTTTGCGATCTTGTTCACTATGTACGAATCACTTCGTCACGACGAAATATCTCTACAATCTCTAGAACAGCATGAGCGGTTCTAGTGATAATTGCGGGCATGCTGTAATTGTCAAAACTTCAAATAAAAGACCATAGGCCCGTCTAGTGAAGGCAGCCTAGCATTCTGAAATGGTCAGAACTTCAAATGAAAGATCATACGCCCTCCTAGTGATTACCTTCGCTCTCGTGTTGTGAAAGAATCACTTTATTAAGAAAAACTCCACTATTTAAGACGCCCTGTATTTTACGTGATAAACTGTCATACTGCAAACCGATTCAATACCCTACATGTTACATCGAATGGTGCTATTGAAGGTCTGCTAATGTGAAGCGGACATTTCTTTTGAACAAGGGAGATTATCGGTGATTGACATTGTTTGGAACGCTCAGTCTATTGAAATAGAGTCCAGTGATGAGGCTCGCCTCTTGGTGTTTTGGCAACATAAGAGTTCAAATTTATCGTATTCCTTAAAAGTTAACCACTTCGTTAGACGTTAGTCTGATGGAATGTCTCCGATTTGTTGGCTGATGACGTCTAAAACGAATTTTGCATCAATCCTCAAACTAGAGTACATATACTTAGAAGCTAACAAGCGCCAGTGTAGGCGGTGTTTACGCTCCTTGGCAGTAAAGGGGCCTTGAAACGTTGGCGGAATCTGGAATTTAGGCATTTGTGGACTGCTTTTGATAAGTTATTTTGAACTTCTAGGCACAAAATTCAGTGGTGTCAAAAGAAAACAACCTAATTAAGAACGCACTTTTTATCACAAGTATCATGGCGTACAACTTCAGAATTTGCACAGCCTCACATTTCAATCTTGGTTGATACGAATCGCTAATACCTCCATACTGTTTTGCTCGCACTCACCATGACCGCGCCCTAACTTGGGCACACAGCTAATAAGGTATTGACTCAAAGCCTGTCGCTTTCATCCCCAGGGCACTACCCGTCTGCGCAAAGCCGGCATTCGCCCACTGTCGCATGGCTTGTTACTTAGCCAAATTCGGGAAACTAAAGATAAACCATGGAGCTGTGGTTGCTGTTCATCGCAATACTGAAGGTCCTCTGCCGACGACGACAACGCTTCGAAGTAATGTTCAAAGCACACCAGCTGCAAAATGGAACTCTCATGTAAAAAATTCCCCGTGGAAAGACCTCATTTCGCCAGGTAGTAGCAGTGAATAAATCGCTGCGGCCGTAATTTGGCGCCTAGGTATAAACGTAGCGTAAGAAGGTGAACTATCGACATCAATGTGCAGAGTACTTGGTGATTGGTGGACCCTCGCTACAAAATAAAGTAAAGAAGTCCCCGAAATCCGGACACCTGAAGGTGAGTCAAGAACGCTGGCACTAATCTACAAAGCAAGTCACAACTTAGCAACCGTATGTATCCCGCGAGCTTCGTAGTCTCAGAGTATTGCTGGAGAGCTGGCTTTTTCGGCATGGACATACGGAGTCACCACGGTTGCCGTCACCACCATTATATCCTTGTCGTTAATTCCATTTTATGAATAAGCGATTGAAGATGATGACAGGGAACTACGCCTCCAATATGCTCGACAACGACGTCTCTATATCATATGGCTCCAGCGTTACTTTTGTCAGCGTGGAGACATACACAGACATATTTGTGAAATTGAAGGCCAACATACCTATTACACCGCGAGACTCACTGCGCAAGTGTAATAGCCAAGCTCGATGTAGGCAAAGCGGCGGCCATGCTCGCAAGTCTTGGCAACAACATGCGCGTCAGCAAAGGCATGACGGTTAAACGATTGAACCTAAGACGAAGCAAGCTCGTAAGGCCCCTTTCCTCGTCAACCCGAGTTTTTCCTCGCATGTGCAAGAAAAGATCATGTACTGCTTCCCCGTTTTTACAACGACTGTTTAGAATCATTTCGCATTCGACAAAAATCTGTTGGTGAACACTAAATTATAACTGAATAACAATCATATCCGCTCTGTCAGAGCCCCTGTCAATTTCCTTCACTTGAACGGAGACCATACAATTTGACAACCTACTGTGCGACGAAACCATACCACCGTCCACGATCCTTTGGGTTTCTCATAATGCTGTTGGAAAAGTGCGATATACCTGTGTGCCTTGGGTCAAACATCGCTGTTCCCACGAAATTCACAGTACGTGTATACCGCGCATAGATGACGACTCCCGGATTTGAGACGCAACCTATTTTCAGTCGATGGGTTTGAAGACTGGCTCCTCGGAAATCGAAGTCCATCATATGGATGGAGAGAAGACAGCATCATCACGCCAAATGGCCCGTTAGAATTAAACGTCATGCCGTTCTGTCTGGCCTCAGTACCTGCGACGTTTCAAGGCATAATGAGCCTGGTATTGGTAAGCTTAAGGCGCGCTCCTGCCTTGTGTTATTAGATCATGTCGCAGATTTTTTTAGGACCTTCAATAACCACAATAAAGGGCTTGAGACAGTATTGCGTGCCATGAGGTCATCCAGGTCTAACTTGACATTGAAAAATTGCGAGTCCACGTACTATGTTAACCTACTTTCTCTGCGGCACATAATTAACCAATCTACACCCACAGAAGGATGCAACCATCGCAAACTTCCATCGGTCATCGTCAAGAGGGCAATGTCCATTATCGACATTCATTGATGATTTGATTTGTGGGGTTGAACGTCCCAATACCATCAAATGATTATGAGAGACGCCGTAGTGGAGGGCTCCAGAAATTTCGACCACCTGGGGTTCCTTAACGTGCACTCAAATCCGAGCACACGGGCCTCCAACATTACCGCCTTCATCGGAAATACAGCCGCTGCAGCCGGGATTTGATCCCGCGGCCTGCAGGTCAGCAGCCGAGTACCTTAGCCACTAGACCACCGCGGCGGGGCTATCGACGTTCATTCAGAGGTTCTACAGTGTTGCAGTGCCACTGACAGTACTGGTGAAATGTGACGTCGACTTCAATTTAATACCCCACAAAATTGAAGCAGATGAGATGTTGAACCGACGCCGTCAGTTGCGATCCGTATTTTCAAATTTCGAGGATCTAGCCGACACAGAAATTCACACTGACTCAAGCAGCAAAAGACTTGGTGTCATTCGCTCCTACCTTTAAGAATGACCTTCCGCTTACGAAATGTTCCCACAGAAGGACAGAAAGCTGGGCCAGTCGGTGTTAGTACTTGAACATAATTTAACACAGCGTACGCTACCCGGACACGAGATAGAAAGGGGGCCTGAAGCAGTGGTTTAGTAGCTAAGGCGATCGGTTGATAACCCACAGGTCGCGGATGGAAGCCCGGTTGCGGCAGCTTCGTTTTAGATTGAATCCAAAATCCTGTAGGCCCCTGTGCTCACATTGGGTGCATGTTAGAGAACTCCAGGTGGTCTAAATTTCCGGAGCCCTCCACTGCGGGGTCTCTCATAATCATTGGGTTGTATTGCGACGTAAAAACACACATAACATATCACGAGCGAAGAAGGGGGACAAACCACAGCACTGACTCACAACTTAATTTTTATTGCAAAACATGAACGAAAATTAACACCTCAACTTTCACACCCATGTGACCACACAAAGGCAACACAAGAGCAGATCAGCTGACATTTTGAACAATGAAAAAAAAACTTTCACACGTCCCATACGTACTCTTTAACAGCATAAAGATTAAGATATCGTGCTAATAATCTATTCTCGCTCTCATGTAGGGCTAGAGAAGGCACGCTGATACATCATTCGCCCCCTTTTTTATTTATATGCTTCAATTATTTCTCGCCTGGTTTGATCTCTGTGTGTTGCTAGGACTTTTGCATCATAAAAGATGGGTGCGCAATGGTACTGCGGAACATGCTGGAACACATGTGAGCATACATTTCCTTGCAAAAGAGGTCTGTGTTCCAAAAACCTAATGTTAGTGCATCTATTTGTTTGTCCTATTGATACACGACCGCATGTGAACGGTAACGGATACATGATACCCTTCCTGCACTTTCGTCATTTTACAAGTTAAATAAGGTACTTGGGATGGTTGAACGGAAGCTTAAAGGGCCAGTAAACCGGTTTTAAAGCCCACAGGAAGAGCTCGCGCACTTTTCCTGCGTGTGATCAACCTTCCTCAACGCGCAGTGACGTCAACTTGGCGATCGGCGATGTGACGTAGCACGCAGCTTGTCGATTGATCTAAATCAGGTCTCAAGAACAGTAATGTAGTCAACGTCGCCGATCGCCGAGTTGACGTCACTGCAAGTGGAGGGAGGTTGATCAGGCATAGAAAAGATGCGCGAACTTGTTTGGAGAATGTAAAAATAAGGCGCATCCTGTTGACGGGCCTTTTAAAAAGCGCGTGTCAGGAGCATCGAAAGAAGGCTTTGCGTTCAAACACGTAACTCCTGTACAGTGCCAGTGCAGGAAGGGTATCGCGAATGTTTTGCTCTTTTCCTGTGGTCTTGTATACACAGGCAGGTAGATGCTCCAGAATTTTGTTGTTGAAACACAGACGTTCTTTGCGAGAGATTGATATGTTTCACCCACAAAGGTGAGCGCTATAGGCCAATAAATAAATATGAAAAAATGCCTAGAGTGTCCATATTATTAATCTAACAATAAAACAAAAACACATGAAAGCAACTTATTAAACACGTGGTAAACAATGAGCCGTGACACGTGAGCTCAACGTGGAAGACATGGAGGTCAGAAAGCCAAGCAGCAAGAAAAAATTCATGATGGTAATTGAGGCAACATCTGTTAGTTCCTTCATCATGCACTGCACTTGTACAGAATGTCAACTTATCACGGAATTGAAGCTCATGAGCTAGTTCAATAAAAGTTGCCGCCAGCAATTTTCAAAATTCCTTGTTTTCCAAAGCATTCTGTGTATCTCTGACCTCGAATATATTCTTAATTTTGTGGGCCATCACCACATTGATTTAGCGCAAACTAAAGAAGTAGAAAACATGAAAGGTAGAGTGCACTTTCACTTCGCGGTTTTATTTCAGCTTGTTTTATTTGTGCTGAATCAGTGTACATACATAATAGAAAATATGAACTAGTTCATCAAGCAGTATAAATATTTTATGATGGTGCAATTACTAATGAGTCGCTTAAAATTGAAAAGCACGACAAAATTGTTATTACAAATTTGAGATGTGGCAACAAGCAAATTTAACTAGAGGGCATGTCTGTACTTACCTATCAGATTGAGACAACTCACCCTTTTGAGGTCAGTGTTGTTGCAACCCTCACGTAATTCCTTGTACTTGAACAAGTGTGCTTCAGCAGTGGCTGAGACAACAAGCATCATGACTATGCCTAATCTAAGCGGTGCCATGCCTTTTCGTGGACGCGTATTTTATGACACCAAATAAAGAACAATACCTAGGCACGTTCTGTTTTCTGTTATATATATCAGGATAAATAAAAAAGAGATCATGTCTTGACCTTAAAAGCCTGGAGGAAGTTGACGTTCCTGGTCTGTCGCAGCAGACAAGTTTGGCTATTTATGTTAAGTGCTTTCACAAGACCAGTTGCTGCTGTCAAGCATCTGCGCTGCCCTAGAGAAGTAACTCATTCTTTAAAAGCAAGAGAAAGAGATGCCTCAGTTAATGCACTTGTCGCTTCTGTAGACTTTTCTTGTTTCGCGATCAGCTTAAACAGAGACAAACTATATATGGCCGCGTGGTCGTGACGTTGACGAAGACAGAGATGATGTGTCAAAAATAAAACACTTCATTCGGCCAAACCTGTGGCTGGAAAAAAGACACTGTAACTTCAATAGTCAACCGTCGATAATCTGAGTCGTGGCAACGTTCGTCGGCAATTACACTAGCGGCACCGAAAATTTCCTTTTGCCGTCGCTTATCTACTATTGCAATAAACTAGATAATAATACTGTGTGCTGTAACACCATTCAATCATTTTATGAACCCAATAAATTGTGTCCGAATGGAATTATGTGCTGTATACACTGAATCTTCTTTCTTGTTATTCCGTTATGTATTTACTTTCAATGTGTAGTATGCATTCGCGCAGGGGCGTCTTTGCAAGCAGGCGTTTGGTGTGTGGCGACATTAGGGACCCGATACAACGGGGGGATTTCAACTCCCTACCACGCGTGGCCACGCATGGCTTAGTCGTGTCCGGAAAAAAGGGGATCCTAGGTGTTGAGTCGATGTTGGATGTTTAGACCTTCAAGCCCCCCCCCCCCCCCCCCAGCCGTGCCAACACACCCTTTTCGCCCCGGCTTCACGTAGACGGCAGCCCTGGACTAACCTACCCAGGGGAAAGCGGTAGTCCTTTTTCTCTATCTCTTGCTCTTCCTACATCTTCGTCTTTTTCTACCACTTTTATTCTTTCCTTGCATCTCTTCTCTTCCGTTCACTTCCAATTTTCCTGGCGGCGAGGGTCATCTTTGTTTGTCATATCCAGTCTTGGGGACGTATATTGGGGTGTAGTGACGTTGTACGGCTGGCATCGGGCAGGCTTCTTATCAACTCCAGCCGCGTCCCCTTGTTGGGCTCCTTGGTAGGTGGTCGGCGCTGTTTCCGAACACACGGATCCTCGAATGACTTCTCAAGCACCCTTAAACTTCGATCGGGCTCGCAAAAGAGTCTGCACCGAGGCAATTTTTCACTTTTTTATGCAGAACAAAGTAGCATTCCAAAAGCACCATGTTATCCACAGTGCAAATATACCAACAAGAAAGCTATCCCCATTTTTGGTGGCCAAGTGCCCCAATAAAAAAAATTGGATCGATGTATAAAGCCTAAAAAATGTGAAACGGTGATCTTCTTATAGAATGGACTGAACAAGATGGAGTGTCTAAACTATATGAACTAACCAGTATTGCTGAAGCTACGGTTACAGTTTTGGTCTACATGTATCTAAATTCTCGAAGATTACCCTTCTACTAGTAAGACTTTTTGAACTTGAGTGACGGAGAGCTTCTTCGAGGTTTTCAAGACCAAGGAGGGATGAATGTTAAAAAATAGTGATCCGCTGCAACAACCAGGAGAGTCCTACCAAGCATGTTATACTCACCTTTGGTTCAATTGAAGTGCCCGCCTGTCTTGAGGCTGGATATGTGAAAATAAATGTCACACCGTGCATCTACAACCCCAGAGGGTGTTATGCCAAAGATTTGGTAACGCATCCCAAACACGTACAGGCCAGGAAACATGCGCCAAATGCAGTGCAAGAGACCACACTTCCCAAAATTGCACTTCATCTCCACTTTGTGCCAGCTGTAAGGGTGTTCACCAAGCGTATTCGCGATCAGGCCTGTTCTGGAAAAACAAAAAAAGAAATCGCCCCGCCACGGTGGTCTAGTGGATAAGGTACTCGGCTGCTGATTCGCAGGTCGCGCGGTCGAATCCCGACTGCAGCGGCTGCATTTTCGATGGAGGCGGAAATGTTGTAGGCGTGTGTACTCAGATTTGGGCCCACGTTGAAGAACCCCAGGTGGTCGAAATTTCCGGACCCTCCACTATGGCGTCTCTCATATTCATATGATGGTTTTGGAATGTTAAACCCCACAAATCAATCAATCAATCAATCAATCAAAGAGAAAACATTGTTCTTACAATTAATTGGTTGATTTGTTTGATTGATTTGTGGGGTTTCACGTCCCAAAACCACCATATCATTATGAGAGACGTCGTAGTAAAGGGCTCCGAAAATTTCGGCCACCTCGTGTTCTTTAACGTGCACCCAAATCTGAGCACACAGGTCTACAACATTTCCGCCTCCATCTCTGACAACCAATGAAAAGATCTCATTTCGTAAAGCACGACAGTGGTTGTCTCACTTTTTCCACTGAAGCTACGCCGTTGTGACGCAGTCGGAGCAGTGCCACAAAGACCTCAGACGTCTGGGCCTACGCAAAGTGGTCTAGTTGTGATCCCTTCTGCCCCATCCATTCCAAAAAACCTACGGACTTTGGTCTTATTGGGCCCTAAAATGAACCTGCTGCTCCATTCATTCCAAAAAGCTCACAGACTCTGGTCTCACGGGGCCCCCAAATAAACCAAACGCCATGGCCTGAGATCCGTGTCTGAGCACCCAGCTCTCGACCTTCCAGCGCTTCTGACAGGGCGATGGAGGTCGACTCAAAAACTTTGGTCTCATCGACACCAAAGGACAAGCGCTTCAATGAGCGCGCAAAACAAGACAAGGTACCAATAATCATCTTAACAAAGCGATAAGCCGTATTGGTTATCTGATGTGCCTGCATTACCAATTCACATTACTGTCACCTATCATCGTTTAATTTAAAGAAACCATTTTCACTTCAATATATGCTTATTTTACTCCATGATGGCTTCAATCGTACACTTAAACGGCAGAGGATTAAGAAACAATTCAAGTGACATTAAGGACATTACTAACAAGTTTTCACCGATTGCTTTCTGCCTCCATGAGGCAAACTTCTGAGCAAAGCATCATAACTTCCCCAAAGGCTTTACAGTTGCCCGTAAGGACCGTAAATATGTTGTGGCTGTTTCTCGGGAGGTGTGGCTATTGTTGTCCAAAGTGGCACTCCTACCTGTGATGTCTAACTGAACACATCTTTTGAAGCAGTAGCAGTCACCATTTTATCTTATAAAAACATCACGATTTGTTCACTGTATATCCCACCCCACGCCCATTGTACTTCTAAAAGCCTAGAAAATATGATGTAACAGCTACGAAAACCATTTAATTTAGCAGGCGATTTTAATCGACATTCTACCTTTTGGTGTAGCGACAAAACTGATTGAAGAGGGCAGTTTGTTGAAGATTTTGCTCTGTCCAACGACATCTGCCTTTTAAATTCAGGTGCTTTTACTCACTTCTCAGCAACATCATGTATGGTAGTTTTTGGGCGTTAAACCCCACATATCAATCAATCAGCAACATCACGTAGATTTAGTTGTTTAGGCATTGCATTGTGTTCACCGTGTCTTTTTAGCGATCATCACTGGTAGGTACCCGACACATTATACCGTAGTGACCATCAACCCTGCATCATCAGAATTACACAATGTTCTCCAAATTTCTCTAGCAAGCCGCGCCAGTGGAAAAGGCGGCTCGTGAACTGGCCGCTTTTTACGGAAAACGCAAAACTTGAAGAAGGTTTCTCACCAGAGCTTCTGTTAAGGAACTGAACAAAACGTTCGTTGAAAATCTGATTGCAGCAGCAAAGGCAATACCAAAGTCATCTGATATTTTTCGCAAGAAACTAAACCCGTGGTAGACAAGCGAGTGTCCTGCCGCCAAAAAACAACAACATCAGGCCTGGAGCAATTCTGCGAAGATACCCCACGTACACCAATTAGATCAATTTCAAACAAGCAAAAGCCGGAGCCTAGTTTATCCGAAGGCTGGCGGGAAAGGTGTCATGGCACAACTACATATACATATAATCAACCAAAAGCTCAGCCACATCTAAATACATCTGGGACCGGGTGATGAAAGTTAAAGGAGAATACTCGTGCTACACAATACCACTCATTACATGTCCAAACATACGAACCAAATTACAAGACCAGGCTAGCATATATATATATATATATATATATATATATATATATATATATATATATATATATAGTGGGAGTAATAATTCAATGGGCTAGTTAGTCTTCGTGAAGGTATGGGATATGGCACAACGGGAGCGTTGTCAACAAGAATAAATATATTTATTTCCCAACAGTTTCGGGAGGGGTCCTGCCTTCATCAGAGGATGAGTTATACTGACATAAACTTCCAAACTTCGTTGCTGCCGCACCCCTCTCGCCTTGAAAGATATTTGCGATAGTGAGAGGGAACTAAAAAATGAAAGAAAGAAAAAAAAGAAAAAAAAACAAAAAAGAGGGAAGAAAAAAGACAAAAGAAGAAAAAGAAACAAAATAAAGAAAGTAAAAAAGAGGAAGAACCACAGTCAACACTGAGAACGGAACCAACTGTCCGTGCACGTCCACATACGGTTCTTATCACGTGCTGTTCAGTTCTCGACGTGTGTCGGGCCACCCAAGATTGTCGCCGCGGTGGCGGGAGGGTCCGTGACGGCGTGCGTAAAGAAAGGGTTTCCCCTTAATGGGTCGGTCGGCCTGCGGCGTGCGTAAAGAGAGGGTTTCCCCTTAATGGGTCGGTTGGCTCTTTACCTTCAATCTTCGTTCGTTTCCCTTCAATGGCCATCAGGTGGTAGGCGACCGTAAACAAAGTGAGAGGGAACTAAAAAAGGAAAGAAAGAAAAAAAAGAAAAGGCGATAAAGGTAGCTTCTGCAGTGAAGTGGCGTGGTACCGGTGATTATTGAACCGCAGCCGAAATGGCGTGTCTGTTTGGCCGATATATTCTTGTCCGCAGAATATACATGCTACATTGCAACATCTGCGGACAAGAATATATCGGCCAAACAGACACGCCATTTCGGCTGCGGTTAAATAATCACCG